CCACACGTCCGCTCATTAAAACAAGGCAAAAGTGTCGAAAACATAACACTGCACTTTATTTTATATTTTTATACATTTTTTTTGAGTTTTTCTATTGTAATTGGCTCAAAGGGAAGGTGAATCCAAGGAAGCATTGGGAGCCCTGCAGGGAAGTTGGGCTCTAACAGGGTGAGCACGGCCTCGGGGAACCAGGAACAGAGCCATCAGTTCGGTCCCTAAAGAGGGGTTTTTATTACACTTGTGCTGGCAGACTCGGCACTGCTTTGATGGTGTGTTTTCACTCCAGCCATCTCCCTGGCTCATTAGCTGCTGATTTGAGGAGCGAGGCTGCTTTTGCGTGGGGAGGAGCTGCAGGCCTAGATCGGCGACAGGACAGCGGTGGATGAAATGAAGGAAATGAGCCCGTTCTTAGATCAAAAGGCTCATGCCAGAGCTCCAGGTGTGGTCTCTGCATCCTCACCCATCTGCAGCCCCTCTTTTCCTGTTCTTTCCGTGCCTGCTGTGGCTGAACTGCCTTCTCGGCCATGCCCCGAGCTGTGCCCCCTTCACCCGGCGCTGTGCTGGCCCCGGCAGTCCCCGAGGCTCCTGGTACATCCAGATGTGGCAGTGCCACTTCCCTGACGGGGCTGCGGGTGTCAGCTGTGCCCCTATGGAGAGGGGCCACTGCTGGCAGTGTCCCAGGATGCCAGGGGAGTGGAGAGGCTCTCCCTGTTCCCGTGCTGTCCCCTCAGAACCCAGGCAGTGGTGTGATGGGAGATGGTTTGGGCTTGGCGGTGTTTGCTCCTTGCCAACCTGGGGGCCTTCAGTTTCCAGCTGGGCTGACCTGAACAGACCATGGAGCATCTTTCCCCTTTGCAGCTCAGCTCTTTGTGCCCAGAGGCACACAGTGACAAGGGCCAGCCGAGTTCCTGCTCTCACCCCCTGTCCCGAGCAGCTCCATGCCCTGACCCCTCTTTTCTGACCTGTCCCTCGGGCCAGGACTGCTTCCCTTCCTGTCCATGGCTGTGGATTCTCCCCATTGCAACCACTAAGTGCTGCAACAGCAGCAGTGAAAGTAAAGCCTCTTGCATGTCCCTGCTCCATCCATAGCTTGTCCTGCTTAATCCAAGTCCCTATCCAGCCCTCCCCAGCATGCTTGGACACCATTTCCTCCCCTGCTAACAAAGCTCTTGCGTGTAGCAACCCCCATGTTGTCCTTTTAGATGCCACTTTCAAAGTCAATAAATGTTTTACGGTGGGAGATCGTTCATCAGGGCTTTGGCACTGTGTGCAGCCAAGAAACCAGTGCTGGGAAAAGGTCACAGTGCTCTGGGAGAGACTCCAGCAGGGCCCAGGAGCTGCAGGACCTGAGGAAAGTGGTGTCCCTTTGTAGGAATCCCTGTGCTCTGGCTGGGGATAAAGTGGGGCAGAGCTGGAGCCATCCAGCCCTTGAGCATGTGCTGGGAGGTGATTTGCTCCGAGCCCTGCGGGTGCACTGCAAAAGTCATTAGCAGAGCAATTAAGGAAACGCCGGTGGCCCTGAGCACGATGCTCTGTCAGGGCAGGGAGGAGAGTGTAGCTTCGACCTGGGGAGGGGATGCTGAGCACCCCCTTCTCTTGCCAAATTTCTTCCCAGCTTCCCGGGTGTGCAGGTGTCTATGCCACAGGGCAGAGCCTGGGCTCCTGGGTGACATTCCGCCCTCCTCTCCTGCCGCTGCGCTCGCTCCAGTGTTGGCCGCGTCGTTGTGTTGCTCTCCAGGCTTTACCTGCCGTCCGTGTCAATAAACTCATTTCCACGGTGCTGTGGCTGCGTGTGGCTCTGTGGGGCTGGGGAGAGGGGCTGCTCCCCCTGATGTCGGCTCTGCCCATGGGAGCAGCAGGGCTGCAAGGCTGGGTTTGGTGGGAAGGAGACTGTTTGCTCACCGGTAGCTTTTTGGCTTCTTTTTCCACCCCAAATTAGGGACTTGCAGGGTGAGGAGGCAGCAAGTATCCTCAGTCTCTGACTGCTGCTCTCTCCTCATCTCAAAGGGCAGTGAGGACAGGCTCAGATGAGGAGCAGAAGATGGATGTACCCATTTAGCCCTTTTGGGGCCCCAGGTGAACTGTGTGCAGTGTGACCTGTTTTCCCTGTGGTGAAACAATAAAACCCTGGGTCAGTGATGCATTTTGGATCACTTTGCACTGGTGCTGTCATTTTCCACAGGGCTTTGCCACTGCTGGTCCTGTCTCAAGCAGGATGGGTTGGGCTGCAAAATCTCTGTACAGGACCAGAGCCGAGCTCGGGTAACCCCAAGCTCAGTACTTGAAGTGGCCAGAAATACAACAGAACAAGCAGCAGGTTTGGGAGGTGTTGCTCTGGAGCAGAGCAACTCTTTCCCTCACCTCTGGCCAGCTTTGGCTTAGCAGCACTTGGAGATTTGGGCACTTCCACCCTCTGTGAAGGGCAGGTACTGTATCAACCCCTGTTGCTCTGCAGGGGGATGGTTTTGTGTTAGAAGCAGGTGTATGTGCCAAGTAACAGCAGTGCCAGGCTGGTTTGGGGTCACTGATCTTGCTGTTCTGTTCCTTTGTGCATCCCTGGTGTGCCTGGGGTGGGTTCATCATTCCTCACTGGGGGTCACCTCTTGCCATGGTGCTGGCAATGAGCCTGGAGCAGCGTTTGGCCCAACAGGATCAAAAGCTGCTGTGAGATGCTCGGGGTTCTGCCCTGCCAGCTGCTGTCCCCTCACATCCTGTGGCAAAGGGAAAGGTTTCTCTCTCCCTCCCTGTTCTGCCAGGGGCTCCCCGTGAAGAAATGGGTCTCTCCTGCTGCTCTGGATTTGCAGCCACACTCGTGCCCTGTAAACAGGGACACACCAGCCCCGGGCTGTGCTGAGCTTGTGAACTGGGATTGCTTCATTAGCATTGTCAGCCCCCAGTGCTGGGAGCTCAGAGGACACGGGGCTGGGAACTGCCACGGGGGTGGGTGGTCCCCGCAACCTTCCCTGTTCCTCAGGCCCACACCATGGGACAGGGACCTCCCAGGTTGCTCTCTGCTGCTCTGGCTGGAACTGGGGCCAGCCCCACTGTGCTGGGTGGGCTTCCCAAAATCCCTGCTACTCCTGCTGGTCCTGTGCACATCCTGCCTCAGTGCATGTGCTGAGGGCCAGCACCAGGTGACAACAGGTCCCTGAGCCCATGATGAGGTGTGGGAAGAGGTAGGGACTCGGGTGAGGATTTTGGAGACTGTGGCTGAGGCTGGGGCTGACTGCAGCCCCCCGAGCCATCAGCTCTGCCTGTCCCCTGCTGCCACCTGCATGCCAGGACACGAGAGCTCTCGGATGGATGATTTTAGGTTTGCATCAGACTCCTGTCACTGAGGCTGGGATAAGCCTCCAGCCAGTGGGGATGTGCCAGGATCCAGCCCCACTCCCCTCCCCCCTCCCTCGTATATTAAGTTTCACACATAAAACTGCAACCGAAGAGCATCTTAGAGGGAGCTGCTAAAAATAGCCCCGAGGCTGGAGCCTGAATTGTGCAGGAGAGTTCGTGTGCAGCCTGATCCCTTCCCTCTCCCGAAAACATTCCACAGCTCAAGACTGCTTTATGGTGATCCGGGGAAGGGGAGCAGCATCTAAGGCTGGTAATAACCCCAGGGACACATAACTATTCCCCTAGCTGCGAGCACCAGGCAGCTGTGCAGGGAAATAACCCCCAGATCTGCAAAAGCCTGGGTGTAATGTGGGACAAGGCAAAGGGGCTGTGACCCCCATTGCCTGACGCTGATCCCAGTCCCAGCTTTGGTGCAGGGTGGCACAAAGACAGTTGTGTATTTTGCCACCTGCCCTTGTGTGTGTCCCCCCAGCCGTGGGGCTGTGTCTGCCGTCCCCTTGTCCCCCGGGGAGGATATGGCATTGCATTTCCACTTGCACTCTCTCCTCACCCTGCACAGGAGCCCCCGGAGATGGTGTTTTTTCCAGCCAAAGGTGCTGACGAGGCTGGGGGGAGCTCGGCCAAGCCGTGGCCGGTGTCTGGGCTCAGCCAGACCCACAGAGGCTCCCCGGTGCCCACCGGTGTCACGGTGAGCTGGAGCAGGGTTTGGGGTCTGCTTCGAGGAGCAGAGAGGTGCAGGGAGCCCACCAGCGTGTCCCGGGGGCCTGGACCACACTCCCAGAGGTGTGACCAGCACCTTCCCTCTGTCCAGCACGCAGGTAAATGCTCTGTGCAGGGTGACCCAAAATGCAGACTCTGCAACAGAAATGTCCTTCTCTGGCACCATCCTGGGCTGAGAGTCCCCTCCGGTGCCAGCGGGCATAGAGAAACCCCCAGGGGCTGGCACAGCAAGAAGGTGAAGTGATGTGCCCAAGAGCACAGCGGGCAGTGGTGTCAGAGGAGGGAAAGACTCCCTGAGAGGGGTCCTACCCTCCTTCCCCGAAGGAGTCTAGCCGGGGGGGCTCGTACAGGGTGGGCATGAGAGCGCAGATGCCGCTGGGCTCCGGGAAGGGAAGGGGTGACGGCGCTGCACCCAGCACAATGCAGGGGGGACATGGGAGGGTCTTTTCCCATCGGCACCTCCCCAGAGCCCCGGGAGAAGCCGGTGTCCTTCCTGGGTTCCTGCGGCTCGCTCTGGGCATCCTTACCTCCTTTCCCGGGCGCTGCCTCCTTCCCTGCCTGGCCACTGCCTGTATCCCTCCCCGGGCATCCCCTGCAGCTCTGCCTGGGCTGAGCGTCTTTCCCTCCGCGGGCGCTGCCTGCATCACTCCCGGGCATCCCTGCCTGCATCCCTGCCTGAGCTCTGCCTCCCTCCCTCCCTCCCTCCATCGCTCCCCAGGCGCTGCCCGCCTCCCGCGCGGGCATCCCCGCCATCCCACCGGGCGCTGCCTCCATCCCTGCCCGGGTAGCGCCTGCCCCCGCGCCGTGCCCCGGACGGGCTCCCCGCTCCCCGCCGCCGCCCCCCGGTCTCTCCGCGCCGGGCGGGGGCCGGGCCGGGCCGGGGCTCTGCAGCGGGGCCGCCCGCCCCGCGCCGGGCTCGCCGCATGGCTCCTCCGCCCGCCGGGGCGCCGCCGGCCCGGGCCACCGCTGCAAGGTACGGGGGGTCCGCCGGGAACGGGGGGACGGGGGGGCAAAGTTACCGCTGGGCAGAGCCGTGGGGGGGACTGGGATGTTGGGGGGATGGGGGGTCCCCAGCGAAAGTTGAGCGGCGGCGCTCCCCGCTCCCCTCCGCCCCGCCGGCACGAGGGGCGCGGGTGTCCCTTCCCGGTGTTCCCCCCCACCCGGTACCCCCAGCCCCAGCCACCCACCGCGGCCGGGGGTGCTGCGCTGCCCGCCGCGGCCAGAGCATCCCCGGGAGGGTCGGGGCGGGATGCGGGATGTGCTGGGTGCGGGGTGCGGGATGCTGCCGCCGCCCCCTCCCCGTGGGGGTCCGGGCTTGCTCCTCCGAGTGCCCCCGGCGTCGCGGGGTGCCCAAGGTCGCACCGGAGGCCGGAGCCCCCTTCCGGGAGCCCCCTGTGAACCCCTGCCCGGCCCTGCAGCCCACTGAGCCCGGCCCGGTGCTGAGTGCCCGCGGCCCCCCAGCTGGTCCTGCTCCACCAGCCCACCGTGGGCTCCCCCGAGGGGTCCCCCCACTGCACCTCACATTCCCACAGTGGCTGCTCATGGGGCTGGGGGCCTCCAGGTCGGCCTCAGATGTTTTGGGGTGCAAACTGGGGCCGTGAGTGGTCCCCGTGTGCCAGCACAGAGGGGAACAGGGTTGTTGGGGTGGCACAGTAAGGCTCAGCCTGTGCCCCACTTACAGGGAGCCCTGCAGGCACTGGGTTTCCAGTTGTGTTGCTCCATCACCCTCCAGCCCCACAGAGGAGCTGGGGAAGCTGCTGCAAGGAGGAAGGGTTTGTGGGGACGGGGTTGTCCCTGCAGCAGAGATGCCCCCCGGGACTTGCAATGACAGTGCTGTCTGCTGGTGGAGAAAGGCCCTGGCAGGGTCGGGCATGGGGGCTCCTGCACCCCCTGTTTCCCTGCATTTGGCATGGAAACACTCCTGCTACCAGGGCTGGGGGCAGCCAGCACCCCAGGGGACAGCCCCAGCAGCAGAGGGTGACAGGGTCCCCAGTCCTGCTGTGAGGGGGGTGAGGATGGTGTGAGCCATGGCCCAGCTTGGGGGACTGCGGGAAGCACATCCACTCCAGCACCCCGCAGTGGGAACCTCTGTACCCAGGCTCTCCCTGGGGCAGATAATCCCCGTAGAATGGGCCGAACAGGATGTTTGAACCAGACACTTTCTGCTGCTGCCCTGTGCTTTGGGCATGGTTTTCAGGGAAAATGGACCAGAGCATCACAAATTGGTCAAAACATCCACACTTTGGGATGAAGCACAAGCTGCTTCCTAGTGATGACAGCAAGCAAAAGTGGGACTCATCCCCTCACCCTTGCTGTTCCCATCACAGCTCCTGGTCGGGAGCCCACTGCCAGCAGGTGTTTGGACTCCTCAGACTCAGCTCCCAAATTCCCATGTCCCCCCACACGTGTGGCCCTGCCAGCAGCTTGTGGGCTCACCCCGTCAGCTGGCTCGGAAATTAGACTCCGTCAAGTTAATTGCCCAACCGCTCAAAGCCTGAAATTAAACATTAAAGCTGTCGCTCGCAGGCACAGAGCAACCTCCCCCCGCCCCAGCAAAAGGCAATTCCAGCTGTCCAAGCGGAGGGAAGATGGATTCCCTGCCTTGGGGCAGCACTGGGAAGGAGCAGCCGGTGACAGTCCCCACCGTGCTACGGAACAAGTCCCCAGCACAGCCTGGGATCTGCTGCTGACAGGCTGAGCAAACCCTGAGCCACAGACACACCCTTTCCTGGAGGTCTCCTTGCTCTGGTGCTGAAAGTGAGGAATGTGCCTGTGAGAACCTTCCTGGAATGAAGTTCACTCAAATCCTGGCTCTCCTTGGCTGTGTGGGGTGGGAGGCTCCAAAGGAGACCCTGATGTCCCGCAGTGCTGGGATCATTGTCCAACCCTGGGGCTCCCCCGTGTAACCCTTTTCCACAGGCTCCTGCTTCAAAAAATATCCCCTGAAGTAACAACAGCGTGACACCGGGGTGTCTCTAGGATCTGACCAGCTTCTCCTTGGCCTTGCAGTGACGGGCTGTCCCAGAGGGGAAATGCATCCTGAATGGGGCTGAGGCCCCCTGCACGGGAATATGCAGCCTCGGCACCGCGGAGGCAGCACCAGGGCAGCGGCCGGCGCGCGGCGGAATGGTGGCAACGTTCAAGATCGCCGTGCTGGGAGCCCAGGGCGTGGGCAAGAGTGCCATAGTCCGGCAGTTCCTCTACAACGAGTTCAGCGAGGTCTGCGTGCCCACCACGGCCCGCCGCGTCTACCTGCCTGCCGTGGTCATGAACGGCCACGTCCACGACCTGCAGATCATGGACTTTCCCCCCATCACCGCCTTCCCTGTCAACACCCTGCAGGTAGGGGTGCTCCCGAGGGGACCTCCACCCTGGGGGGGTCTCTGGTGACCTCCCTGGGGTTTCGCTGTGTAACTCCACGGGGTCCTGGTTCCTCCTCTTTGGGGGATGCTTCTCCCTCCCTGTCAGGGTTTGGTTGCTAAAAGCGAGGGATTGTGTCCTCATGGATACTGGCTGAGCAAGTCCAGGATAAAGTGCCTTTTAAAGCTTGATGGCAGCAAATGCAAGAGACAGTGTTCCCACTCCAAGGAGCGTGGCTCTGGGATTGCCCACAGCCACATCCAGCTGAGTGGTGGATCCTGGAGCACTGGGATCCAGTTCTGTGGCTGTCAGAGAAAATGCCAGAGCATTAAGGTGGAAATCAGGGGTTCCTGGAGAGCCAGACCCCTGATGTACCCACTGCCTAAGCCAGGCAGAGCAGGGCTTATTGCCCCTCCTGGGAGTGGCCATCACCTCCCAGCATTGCCTGGGCTTGTTCTTGGAGTGCTGAATCCACCAGCTCCTCCTCAGCCCCCCCGCGCTCTCAGGTGCTTCCAAAGCATCCACAAAAGGCAGTGTGGGGCTGGAAAGTCTGACCAGTGCTGACCATTTCGGGGGGGGGGGAGGGGGTAACGGGGGAAAAAGAGGATTTTAAACTCATGCCATAGCCCCATCCCAGAGGCACAAGTTGTGTCACTGCTGTTGGAAAAGGAGCTGCAGGTGCCCAACCACGACCACAGCCACGCTGGAGGGCAATGCCATCAGTGGGGCCACCTCAGTTAATTACAGTGTTCCTGTGCCCAAGAGGGACGGGGTTACAGGGGCCTTGTATTGCTCCAAGAGTCCCTGTGCCGTTGGGCAGGAGGTGAAGTGAGTGCTCCAGGGGCGAGGAGCAGGTTTGAAAATTAATCAGTGAGTGCAGGGAACGAAAGGTCAGCGCGAGAGACAGCCCCAAACAGCAAAGGGTAATTTATTGACACGGCAGCCGACGGTAACACACTCGATTAACTCCCTGCCTTGCTGCACTCAAGTGGAGGCGGCCGGTGGGAGCAGATGGAGGTTTCCAGGGAGGAGAGGGTGCTCAGGCGGATGGCTCCCAGGGGAAAGAAGAGGACCACGGTGGAGGATACGGCTCTGCCTGCTGGGAAACATCGCTGGACTCTGCTCCGTGCCCAGGAAAAGCATCCCTGTATCCCTCCCAGTGATGTCCTGGGAGAGGAGCAGGAGCCAGAGGCTCTCTGACATCCTGCTCCGGCAGTGCAACCCTTCTACAGCTCAAGCATCCCGGGAAACCTGCACTGCATGAGGAAAACCATGCTGACATCACAGCGCCGCAGCAAGCTGCACCCCGGTGTGGTGAAATAGCTGCGATCTGTTCGTCTCCCAGGTGTATCAGGACTCGGTGTAACCCGAGACGCTGCTGCTCCACCCGCCTGTGTCTCTGAGACAGGATCTCCCCAGCACCTCCTCCCCTCGGTGGACAGAGAGGGGCTGTGTCATTCTGTTCACTCTGAGCTCCTTCCTGCGCAGTCGTCTGCGATGGAGACCAACCCGCACCCCAAACCCCTCTTTTTCCCAGTTCCCTTCAGTCCTAGGTCTTCTCATTTTGCTTCATTCCAATTATAAACTCAGAAAGGGCTGATTCATGGTTCTGAAGGGGTTTGCTCAGGGAGAAGTGATGCCTTTCCTCCTTGGAGCATCTATCTCCTTTCCAGAAGCGCTCAGGAGGATTTGCAGTGCTGTCTTCACAGGCTGCCATTCCTGGTCCCACTGCTGGGATGGGAAAGTGGCTGGAAGTGGGGCAGATTTTCACTTACAGCATGGGAAAAAATCCTGTTGTTCCCAGAAACCCCAAACTTTTACAACAGCATGTATTTCTTACAACTCCAAATTTTGGGTTTGGAGAGGCCACCCCTGCCTCCCTCTGCACTGGCTCCTGATCTTTTTCACACAGACCTGGTTCCTGAGCAGCCACTGCTCCTCTCCTGTCCCCGTGTCCCCTCCAAACAGACCTGCCATCACCCTCTCTCTCTGACCCACAGAGCTGCTGGTCCATCACCCTCAGATCCATGGGGATGGGGCTCAGCATTCTCCTCACCTGCCCTACCCAAAGAGCAGGGTGCATCACTAATTGACACACCTAATTAGGAGCTCTGCAGGATGAAGCTTTTACATCCAGGGCAGGGGGCTGCATTCAGCCCCACTCCCAGCTCACCACTGTGTGTTAGACACGCTGTAATCCTCGCTCAGGAGAGGAATTGGGGCTGACAAATCTTGTTACCTCTTCTCTGGATGAACAAGGAGGGATAAGGGATCTCTGGAGGGGGGGGATGGCTGAAGGGCTGTGGGTGCAGACGCAGCTGTGCAGGGCCGGTCACAGAACAGAGGTGAGATGGGTGCTGGGTGTCGGGGCTGGAGAGTGTTCAGCCCCCTTGCTGCCTGCTGGCAGCAGTGTGGGGCATCCCTTGGGCCCAGCAGCGGGGCTAAGCCAGGATTGATCCCTCTCTGCACCTTGCAGGAGTGGGCGGACGTGTGTTGCAGGGGGCTCCGGAGCGTCCATGCCTACATCCTGGTCTATGACATCTGTTGCTTTGACAGCTTCGAGTACATCAAAACCATCCGCCAGCAGATCCTGGAAACAAGGTAGGCACCACTTTGTGGGATGATGCATCCTGCCCTGCAGCTCTCAGCAGAGTGGTATGGCTGGTCCCAGTGCTCCCCTGCTCCTGGAGTTGGAGATGAGACATCAGACTGGGACAAAACCCCTTTGCAGGGCTGGAAGCCCAACAGCAACATCAAAACTGGGACTGAGGGCAGGAGAAGGAGCAGGACCCTGGGCAGGTATCCCCTGTGGGTGAGGGCAGCCATCCCTGGAAGAGAAGCTGTGGGTGGCACGGTGGGTGGCTGTCCATGGAGAGGGACAAGAGGATAGGACAAGGGCAGGCACATCCCACTCAGCAAGCCAAAACCAAGAGCCATTATGGGATGGGTTGAGCTCTGCTGGGCCAGTCAGTCATCACACTGTGCCAGTCATCACACTGTGCCCCCGTCCCCTTCTGTCCCCCCTCACCTCCCACCCTCCCCAGGGTCATCGGCACCTCGGAGACGCCCATCATCATCGTGGGCAACAAGCGGGACCTGCAGCGGGGCCGGGTGATCCCGCGCTGGAACGTCTCCAACCTGGTGAAGAAGACGTGGAAGTGCGGCTACATCGAGTGCTCGGCCAAGTACAACTGGCACATCCTGCTGCTCTTCAGCGAGCTCCTCAAGAGCGTGGGCTGCGCCCGCTGCAAGCACGTCCACACCACCATCCGCTTCCAGGGCGCCCTGCGCAGGAACCGCTGCACCATCATGTGAGCCCCCCCTGCCCCGGTGGACCCCCCTTCCTCGGGCACCGCGGCTCCCCAGCGAGCACTGGAGTCTCTGCTCTCCGTGGGGGTGATGCTGTGGTGGGAGCTGTGCTGGAGGCACCTCAGGGTTGGCTTCCCACTGGCGCTGGCTCCCTGCGGTGACATTTGGGGACAGCGCACCTTGGGCAGGGTGATGTGGTGGCCAGTGGCAGGTTGGAGCAGTTGGCTGCCTGGAGGTAGTGATGGGTGAGGGAGGTCCTTGACTAAGCCCCCAGGCCCTCTCTGAGCCTCAGCTTGAGGCCAAAGCCGTCCCGGGGGGGTGTACATGGCACCGGAGGGTGGAGGAGATGCTTCAGAGGGTGCCCAAATTTTGGCTGTCAGGTCCATCCTTGCCAGTTCCTTCTCTGGCAGCACAGGGGCAATGCTTGCTGCTGCCTGCCATCCCCTGCCCCTGGAAGGGAATGATCCAGCACCTCTATCCTGATGTGCTGGGGCTGGTTCCATCGCTGGGGCACAGGGAGACAGGAGTCCTGTTTTCCTCCCTGCAGAGCTGGGGTTTCTCCCCTTGGAGGACAGAGCAGCCTCCAGCAAGAGGCCAGGTTACACGGGATCTCTTTTGGCTCAGTTGGGTCAGATTTCCAGGTGGAATTTCCGGAGGAAAGCAAGAAAGGAGGAAAAAAATAATAATAAAGCCCCCATCCTGCCCCTTACATCCCCCAGGGTGCCGGGAGCTGCCTCCCCAGGGCTCTCAGTCCTCCTCTGCCCCAGCCCAGCCCAGGAAGGCTCCTCCTCCCGGCCAGCCCGTCGAACACCAAATAATCTCGGAACGCTCCTTACCGGGCAGGTCACCCCTCCGCTACCTCGCGTCCCGTGCTCAGCCAGCGGCCGGCTTTGCACGGCTTCCACCCAAGCCCCCGGTGTCTCCCGGGCGGGTGGGCAGCCCCCTGTGCCGCCGCACCCACCGGCGGTGCCGCGAGCTCCCACCCGCGCCGGGTTTTCCCGTGGTGATCCTGCCTCCATCCCGGTGAGACGCGGCCCTGGGAAGGCAGCCTCCGAAGCAATAGGGAGCTGGAGTTGCATTTGTGGTTGCATTCCTACTTGTTTGTTTTTCTTTTTTTTTCTCTCTGCGTATCCCTATCAGGGAAGTGAGCCTCTCTCATTTAATTTTTTTATTATTTTTTTTAGTCTTTCAGCACGTTTTTTTTCCCCAGACTTGCAGCTCGCCTGCGTCCTGTCCTGCAGGGCCAGGTGGCAAAGGGCAGCCCCTGTTAGGAAACGGTGGGTGGGGCAGTGAGAGCTGAGCAAGGGGCCGTGGTTTCTCCTTGGCTGCCCCCTGTGAGGCACGGGGAAATACCATCCTCACCTCCTGAGGCAGGATCTGTGGCTGGTCCATCCTCCAGCAAAACCACCCTGGTGTAACAGGGAGGTGCAGGTATTCAAGGTATTCAGTGCTGCTCCGGGCAGTAAAGCAGAAGGACACCAGCCCCTCTTCCCCCCACAGCCAGGTGTCCATCGCCCAGCAGCATCACCGTGCTCTTGGAAACACTTCCTATGAAAGGCAGGTCCAGCTGAGCTCCAACACTGTGCATTCCACCACCCCCCCCCTGCTCCAGGGCCGGGGGGGGGGGGTGTCACCCTACTCCCTCCCTGCTTGGGGAACCAAACCCCTTGATCGAAAAAAATAAGAAAAAAAAAAAAATAAAGAAGAAAATTAAGGGTTAAAAAAGAGACAAGGCAATGGGAGGACACGATTCCATCTCAGCCAGGAAGGGCAGTGGCACTTGTCACCATCCCTTGCCTTCATGGCAAACCCAGCTTCCCCATCCGACCTCATCCCGTCAGGATTTATGAACGTGTGCAAGTCCACTTGTAGACCTCTGGCTAGCTTTATCCCTCCAAATTGTCTGAGAAGGAAATTCCTTGGTAAATGCTAATAATAAAGCATTTATAAAGTGCTCCGACGTACACATATCAACGACTAAGCCAATACATTGTTTGTTACGACCCTGTAGCCTGCAGTTTATAGCACAATTAGTTACAGGTTTTTATAGCATCTCTTTAGTATTTTGAAAAAAAAACCACAAAAAAAAGGTTATAAATATAATTGTTATATTCTATTGTACTTTATAGACAGAGGAAGTTATATTAGTAATAATAACTCTCACTGCTTCGTCAGCATTTCCCAGCTCCCAAGAAAACGAGGGCTACAAAGAGCCGCTTTCCCAAAAGGCCAGGAGGGGGTAGGTGGTGGTATCCTGGGTGGTGGTACCCCGGGTGCAGGCAGGGACTCTGAGGCAGGACGTGTCCAGGCACGCAGGAATCGGAGCACTCAGCAGCACAGCAGCAGTGACAAGCACCTCGTGCCTCACCCCTACTCACACCTGTAGTACAAAGTGTTCCCACTTCCCCAACACCACCCTGGTCCTGCTGGAAACAACCTGCTCCTGGGCCTGGGAGAGGCTGGGATGTCTCCGCCGCTGTCGCCAGGACAGTGCTGTGTTTCTGCCCCCGTGCGTGTGGAGGTGATGCCTGGGTTTGGCTCAGCCCCACCAAGGATGCTTCCCTTTCCTCCTCCTCCTCCTGCCCCGGTGAGCATCCCAGTTGCCTGGACTTGGCTTTCCTTTCCCTCCTGGACTTCTTGTCGGAGATTCCCAAGGTGTCTACACCGCCTATAACTCCCTGCACCCCCTTCTTTGAAATCGAATTAAAAATCAGGTCTGTCCCCCCTTGTTCTGTACCCGCCTCAGGAGTATTTTTGCAAGCAGGTTTTGCCTCCCCGGAGCCCCAGGGCTCACCTTTGCTGTCTCTGCAGGGGTGTGGGGCTGGCTTTGTCCCCTCTTGGGAGATGGGGATCCGTGGCCCCTGTGGGGCTCCTGGAGGGACATTTGTTGTGCCCACAGGGAGCAGACTGGCAGCCGTGACTCCCCCATCAGGATCATCCTCTCTCCCTCTTTGTTTTCCACACAAAAACAAGTGTGGAAACAGAAGAGCTTTGGTCCATCTCTATTGCACAAACAGCATTGCTGGGTCCGTGGTGCAGGCTCAGGGTGTGGCCCCATGACCCTCAGGGACAACCACCCCCCCCCCGAGGTGACCACGACCCCTCTGGTTCTCCCACCTTCACCCACAAGGAAGCTCGTAGGGGTCAGGAAGGGGCCCTTCCAGTGACCCCCCAACCCAAGTGACTCAAACACTCATTAAGGCTCTTGGAGCCGTGAGACATGAGGCTCATTAGTCCCATGGTACAGACGGGGAAGTCTGAGGTTCGAGATGTTTTACACCTTTGGATGCCAGGGGTGGGGTGTCCCTGCTTTAGTGGGGGCTACACCCCTCTTCCCTGCAGAAAGCACCCCATGCTCTCAATTCGGGGCTGGATTTTTGCACCCAAAACAGCACAAAAGCGCCTGTTTATCCAAAGAATTACCAGTAAAAAAAAAAAAATCCACAGGGAAGGAGGGCGTGTAGCTCCGAAGAGCGAGGCGGGAGGACCCCCGGGCTGCCTGGGAGCAACCCCATCACACCGCCAATGCCAGCCTCGAGCACTGCAGCTCCAGCTTCAGCTGGACCCCTCACTCCTGTTTTTGGAGTGAGGGGTCCGTCCCCACCGGCACTCGGGGAGGGCTCAGACCCAGGACTCCTCATCATCCTCGGTCAGCCAGGCGCTGCAGTCGGCTGGGGAGGGCTTGGCCGGGGGGCGTGTGCTGCCGGGCGGGGGGGGTCTGGGCGGCCCCGGGGGGCGATGCTGGCCCCGGCGGGCAAGTGGGCGATGCCCCAGCGGGGTGGGGATGCGCGAGGGGCGCTTGCCGGGCCTGTGGTCCCGCCGGGGACGCACCTTGGGCCGCAGCTTCAGCTTGTAGATGGAGGGCACACGCTCAGGCTTCTTCAGACACCGCCGGGGCTTGGGGACGTTGTTGGCCCTCACTCCTTGTGGGGTCTGGGACCCCACTCCCAGCCCCTCTCCTTCCCCCCTGACTGGGAGGGTGGTGGGCTGTGAGGCAGCTCGTGGCGGTGTTTTGGGGACCTGTCTCCCCAGCCCCACAGGGCACAGGGGATGCTGCCTGCGGGAGAGCTCCTCCACCACCCTGTCATAGCCGGGGGGCTGTCTGCGCCCCCAGCACCCCCGAGGACTCTTGCTCCCATCACCAGGACCACAGGCTCCCCTCGGTTCATCCTCTGGCACCCCAGGTCCCTCGGCACCCCCAGCCCTTGGGTTCAGGACTGGGTGGCACTGCTGTGTCCCCTGGGGACCACCCCCAGCAGCACAGACTTTGCATCCCTCTGCAAAATAGGCCAGAGGGGTGGAGGGCCGGGAGGTGGCCGGGCTGGCTTTGATGGGGGTTTTAACGCTGCTGTTCTGTTTTGGGGGCTGGCTGGAGGAATTTCGGGGTGAGGGGGATTGGCCCCGGCTCAGGGCTCCCCGTTTCCCTTCCCGTGGGCTTTTCTGTCTCTGTGAGTCTCCCTGGGCACCTCGGTGTGAGGAGGGGGCACAGCCCTTGAAGGGGCTGGGGGCACGGGGTGTCACTGTGGTGGGTACCCCTGTTTCCTGTGGCCTGGCCGCCACCACAGGTGATTCTCCTCCTTGCTTGGTGCTTCTTGGACGTGCTGGTGTCACCTGTGGGCTGGGTGTTGTGGACCTGCCCCGTGCCGGTGCCAAGGGGGTTTTCCCTGGGGTGCTGCCATGTGGTGCCTTAGGGACCCCCACACCGTTTGGCAAGGTCAGCCGGGAAGGGGTGGGTGCCCGGCCCATCACCCCGTGGCCAGGGGAGCTGGGTCGAGCAGGAGCCCTGGATGGTGGTGGCTGCCTCCCTGGAGGGGCAGCCGGTGGCTCCCGCATCCTGCAAGGAGAGAGAGCGGAGAGGAGCAGGAGAGCTGCTGCATCCCCCCACCCAGCCTGGTGTGGGCACATTCAGAAGGGAAGGGGGAAACAAAATTCGAGGATGTGAGGAAAAACTACTCTGAAACCAAGCAGTTTGGGGCATGAACCACCTACCTGCCCGAAGGGACCCTCCGGGGCTGTGCTGGCTCCCGGCGAGGGCTGGCACCCTGTGGGTGACCCGAGCTCTGTGGTGAGGGGGTGGCAGGGGACTGAGGGCGAGGAGGGACACGGGACCCCCAGGTGACGGGGGGCAGGGGGCTCTGGGAGCGGCTGACCAGCAGCGTGGGCTGAGGACCACGGGGGGCGGCCGCCTTCGAGGCCGGGCACAGCCAGACCTCGTGCTGCACTTGCTGCTGCGGGCTCCTGGTTTTCCAGGCTTGTTTGTGAGCTGTGGGAGAAAACGGAGAGGGGTTCGGCATCCCTGTCCCCTGCACCCACCCTCGAGTGCAGCCCCCCAGCCATCGCTCAGCATCCAGCCCCCCGAGGATGCTGGCAGAAAGCTGAGCTCCTGGAGAAGGGGCTTTTGGGGTCTGGCTGCATCTGAAAGTCTTCCATGACCTCTAGTGGCCACCGAAGCCAAAGAGAGTCCCCGAAACCAGATATTCCCCGGCAGAACAAAGAGGCACGGCTGTACAAAAGCCTCCCGCTTTCAGGAGCCTCCTGCTCCTGAAAACGGCCACAGACACATCGAGACCCACAACAGACACTCCCCCCGCCCTCACCCAGCCACGGGGTTTGGGGACGCGGGGACTCACAGAGGGAGGTGCAGCGACACGGGTCGTGCTTGTCCAGGTAGTGCTCCAGCGTGTCCCAGCCGCCCCCGACCCGCACCATGACGTGCTCCCGCAGGATCTGCACGGGATGCCGTGTGTCGTGAAGCCCGGAGAGGTGCTTGGGATGGGACACCCCCCACTTTTTAATCAGCCTCAGGGTGACACACTCAGCCGGGCTTGGAGAGCAGTGGGCTTGCCCTAAGTGCCACCAGGTCTCCCAGGGGACAGCTTCATTCCCGGCTCAGCTCCTGCTGCCATTCCAACAGGTACCTTTCATCACCCCAAGGAGAAAGGGGACCATTTTGGAAAAACCCTCTCCATTGTCATGTGCTGAGTTCTTTGGCCAGGCTTAGGGATGAATCCAGGCAGGGACAGAGCTTCTCAGTGTTCCTATTGCTGGGTAAGACCTGGCTCTGGCTTGGTGAGGGAAAGCCTGTTTTGCCCTGTACACATGGATGGTTACAGCCATGCAAACACTGACAGCAGGGCTGAGCTTCCCTGCTGCCCTGCTTTGGGAATAATGGTCAAAACACTCACACTGGCCCCATTTGGGGGATGGATTATGGAAGAGGCATCAAGGCAGCAGAGAAGCATTCCTTGTGCCTGTGCCCCAAAAGCACGGGGAGCAGCAGACTCACCCGGACGAAGATGAGGGTGTCGGAGTCGCCCACGCGGTATTTCCCTTCGGATATCTTGATCATGGGGAACTGGACAGGGCAGGTACAGCGGCTCACCAGGTGCTGGACCTGCGGGCAGCAGGAATGGGTCCTGGAATGGCCATCCCCATCCATCTCCATCCCCATCCCCACCTCCATTCCCATCCCCATCCCCGTCCATCCCCATGCTCATCCCCATCCCATGCCCCTCCGCACCATCTGGTCGAGGTTGTTGAGGTCCCGTGGTTTCCTGGGGGGCCGGGGCAGGGGGGTGTCTGTGGGGGGCAGGTCCAGCTCCTGGCGAAGCTCCTCCTCGATCTCCTCCTCCATCTGCACCAGGGTCGGGGCCCGCATGCCGAAGCGGGAGGCGCGACGTGCCAGCTCCAGCAGGCACAGCACGAAGTTCTTCTCGTTCTTCCTCAGCACCAGGTCCTCCGTCTCAAACATCAGCACATCTGGGGCAGGGCAGGGCTGGGCTGAGCCAGGGCTGGCACGTGGGGATGGGGACAAAGGGGACGGGGGCACAGGTGGAGTCAAAACCCGCCCAAAGGGGTGCTATTCACTGGAGCCATCCAGCTGGGAATATGGTTGGGTTCAACAAGAGCTGGGATAAATTAAAGGATTTAAGATCTTCTTGGGCATCTACAGCTGTTTCATGGCATTGCAAAGCCACAAAACTCAAGTCTGGGTGCCTTGAGGGTGTGTCACTCTGTGCCATTCCCCTTCCTGGGCATCCACTGGTGGTAGGACAGGCTGACAGACCCTTTGTTGAGCCAGGATTTCTCCTGCTCTCCTTTACAGCTGGGATCATGCCATGCCTGGCAGGGACACACTGGGCCGTACACCCTTTCCTTTTCCACCCCTCCAGCGCATACTTGCACCCAAGCAAACACACTGGGTATGTGCCAGCACCTTGCACAGCTGCTGCCAAGCCTGGAGGAGCTTGTGCAAGAAATGCCAGCTCAGAGATGCATGCACAGGGTGCTGACCCGTGCCGGGGTGGCACTGATTTTGGGGGACACACGGGAAAACACCCGAGGTGATGTCAGGGGCACCTGGAGGGGGTTGCACACAGACACAAGGACAACAGGAGCCTGGCATCTTACCTTTGATATCCATCTCCTTCCTGCACCACTGGATGAAGTTGGAGATGTTGTCCCTGGCCTGGAAGGTGCCTGGCTGCGCTGTGAGGTTGCAGGTGACACCGGCAGCGGGCAGGCGGAGGTGACGGGCCACGTCGGGGTAGGTGCGGGCGAACTCCCCGGCCACCTGGGTGACGTTGTTGGCGTGGGAGCAGAGCACAGCCCCCGTTTCCAGCACCTCCACAAAGGTGCCCACCTCGATGTCCAGGTCATACAGCTCCTTCAGCCACTCCGCCAGGTCCTCCTTCATGGCGTACAGGTACTGCTGGCTGGTCGGGTAGGGACGGATGCTCCGCACCGCCGGGCCCGGAGTCCCCCACATTCTGCCATGGGACTGGGAGGAGGTTGAGGGAGAGGGATGATGGGGACATGGGTGATGGGGACATGGGGAGCTGCCCTGGCCGTGCCCCCAGCCCACCTCCCCAGTAGCCACACTCACCCGGTGCCACTTGCTCCCTGCCGGCCGGGACGGTGACGCCGCCGTCCTCCTGGTGTCCAGAGCCCTTCTGGGGTCTGAGGGCTGAAGGAAATCACCCTCCTGGGCAGTGGGTGTTTTGTTTCCTTCCCAAGTGCTGATCCCTTCTCCTTGGTGACAAGGGGCTGGCTGCAAACACTCCCTGTTAACCCTTCAGCACCTGCTCCTCCCCAGCTATGCCAGGGGTGGATTTTCCCCCCCCCCACCCCCGAGGGCCCTGGCTCCAGGACAGGAAGGAATTAGCAGCTCATCAGCTTCCCAAGTTGCTCACAAGCACATGAGAGGGATTTTCCCCCCTTCCCAACACCCCTCCACCCACCTCCCCTGCAGGTGGGGTGACCTGGTGGCCCTACAAGGTGCATCTTCAGGGCAACCTCAGGGTGAGGAGGGTTTATTTCCACACCCACCTTTGGGCTTTCTCTGCCCTGTGCTTCCTTGCAAACTTCTTCCCAAATTGCTCACAACAGCGAGGTCTTTGGTAAAAGCCAAGTTCCTCCAGGGACAGTGTGACTCCAGGAGTTGGGGCTTTAAGGAAATAACTACACACGAGTGGGCACCTCTGGGAATGTGGGATACTCCCTCCCTAACCCAGGGCTTGCAGAGTTGCAACAACACCCAGGTACATCTGCTAAAAGCAAATCTACCAGGGAAGTGCTCATGTCTCAGGACTGAAGCAGAGCCTCTCATGTGCTCAGGGGGCTCTGTCGTGGGCTCTGGGGGGCTTCTTGCTGTGTTGAGAGACCTGTCCTCTCCCTCGAGCCAGCTGCTGATGCTCACTGCAGCTCACTGTCCAGCCAGTGTCATTTTGGGGGAGGAAATGCAAGAATCCCAGCTATTCTGCCTGGGAATGTGTGGCAGGCTGGAGGAGTCCGCGCCTGGCATGCCCAGCCAGGGAGCTCAGCAGGAGAAAAGGACCCTTGTGAAGCTGGATTTCCAGCCAGGGCACCCAGTGGGGTTGACTGCACAGCTCAGGGTGTGAGTTCACCTCCCCCAGGTCCCCCCCACACCAGTGGGGTGCAGCTGATACAGCACAGTCACCCCATCCCTGCCAGAAATGCTGTGCTCAGCCCCAGCCCCGGCAGCATCACAGGACCCCAAGGCTCCCGATGGGACACAGCCATGGGAAACACAGAGCAGCAAGCCAGGGAGGAAAAGGAAAACTCAAAGAGGGGAGAGGATTTGAGGTTGTCCCATCCTCACCTTCCAGTTACACAGCAGATGGGATGCCTGCTTTCTCCTAAGGGAACAGGAAAGGGGATAATGAACTGCTGCTTCTTGGCAAAGCTGCAGGTGTAGAGTATCCCTGGGGTACAGCCTGGCCCAAAAATCCTCCTGTACATGGAGCAGGAGTGACACTGCTCTCCTACCCTGCTTGACACCCAGAGCAAATGCCTTGACAGAAAGACCTTGTCCAGTGCCAGTTTTCCCTACGAATCCTCCATCCCCCCATCAATCCCTCTATTAATCTCCCATCACCCCATAAATGCCCCCATTAATTTTCCCATCACACTGCAGATCCCACAGCCAGTGGCAGCCCAGGGAGCTGGTTGGGGTGTTCCCTGTCCCTTGGGAAGCAAGGATCCACCTTCACACACTTCAATAGGCTGGAGGGCCCCCATCAGCATGAATTCAGCCTGGGGAAAAAAACCTATTAACACATCACAAGGTGTGGAAAAATCCTCAGTAATTTAGGAGGAAGCAGGGAATAGAGTTTCCCTGTTTTCATCACCATCAGTGAGTTTACAGTGGGATCCATTTCCTCCCTTTGATCCAGCAAGCGCAAAAGCTGAGGCCAAATTCAGCAATACCCACTCCAACCCCAAACACCCACAGGCATCTTAAACACAGCCCTGTCAGGAAACCAGAGATTGGCTTTAAAAAAAAAAAACAAACCAAAACCAAACTGGGACATGAAAACAAGCAGAAATCCCAATGCCACGTATCCAGAGGTTCTTTTTATTTGCCAAGAGGTTTCCAAGCCCTTGGGACTCCCTGCCAGCCTTATTATCATTCAATTCCAAATGAAAATGCTGCGGTCCTGTTTCTTTGGCAACGCTGAAAGTCCCCTGAGATTTTAAGCGGATGAAGTGACCATGTTCGTGTCTGTGCACGAAGGGCTCACTCACAAGTTTTAAGAAGAACAGGAGGAGTGGTGGCTCTCCATCCTGCCAAACCCACATCCCAGCTGGCAGCTGGCTGCACCGAAAACCCTTGGGAAGTACCAGCCTTGGCACCCTGCCTGGGGCAAGCCTGGCTCCTGCCCTCTCTAGGGAAGGTTTAGGGTGAGCGAGGGCAAATGGAGGATGTTGTGCTGAAGAAAAGAGTCCTCAGAGTTGCTGGCATGGGGAAAGCACCCTGGCATGGCACCACAGCACAGCACCCTGACACAGCACTGGCACAGCAGGACCAGCCCAAAGCAGTGCTGGGGTCTGAGTCCTGGGAGAACCATCAGTGACACAGCAGCCCACCTGTGTACGACCCCAGCACGGTGAAAATCCCCGAATCTCTCAAATCAAAGGACATTTTAATAAAGTTGAGCCCTGTCTTGCTCAGCACCGATGGCATTTGCTGCCGCAGAATTCCAGCCCTGGGAAGCTGAGCTTGCCCACCTGCCATGGGACACGATGGCCCTTTGTGGACATGACAGGTGACTGCACAGGAGCCAGCGGCGTTTCCAGGTGGGGAGCCTGCTTCGGGAAAGGAATGAGGAATATGCAGCCGTGCTGTCCCTGTGAGCCTGCATGCACAGACATGTCTGTCCTGCTCACCCTCTCCTCTTCCCCTCCTCCCCCAGTAATTTGTCAACCCCTGTGTTCATCCAACTGTGGCACAGGGACTCAAAAACACACCAATCCTGCCTCTTGCAGAGACAAAGCAGAGCTGCCCGTGAGCTGCACAGTCACATGGTCATATCTCAGCTGTGCCTCCCCTCTCTCTCCACCCCAAAGAGGCTCCTGCACCAAACCCCTCTGGTTTCTCCCCCCAAATCCCACCGTGTTGGTGTCTCCAGCTGGTGCCTCACCAGAGCTCTGGGATGTGAGCACAGCCCAGCAAAGCATCCCTGACCCCCCATCCCTGAGGCTCTGAGCACATAGCAAGGGTAAAGCTTAACACGATCCAGAGTTTTGTCCAAATGTCTCTTTTCCTTTTGTTTTAAGCAGGAAACATTCTCAGTCTCATATTTAAAAGCATCCAAACCCCAAGCCAAGCAGTGGCGAGGCACTTCTCTCTCTGGTCGTGGGAAAACAACAGATATCAACAAATATCAACAAAGATATCAAAAAGTAGCAACAAACCCCAGTCCTGCTTTGGAAAAAAATGTGTAACGATATCCTGAATGTTAACAGAAATGGGTGTGATTGCAGTCTCCATGGCTTATGTATTTTTTGTGGTCTTTTAAAAAAAATACTGTCTCCCAAAGCCTCCAAGCCCACCTGGCTGTGGCAGACCTGTCCCACTGCATCCATGCTGTGCTGGGACACTGCTCCACCATGCCATGGCTCCAGTCATCCACAGGCAGCCGGTCTCCCTGCCAAACCATCCTCAGACAGGAACCCAGAGTCAAAGAAAGAGGGATCCAGGCAGCGGTGAGCGAGGTGGGGTTCAGCCCCCCGTTCCATCCCAGCAGGTTCTTCTCAGAAGAGGACCTGCTCGCTGTTTGCGTCCCAGCAGCCCATCCAGGGGAGCTGGGTGGCCCATTTGCCAGTGGCCACCACTTGCAGCTTTGCCCGGTCAAACTTCCAGAACTGGTCGTCCCGGAAGAAGTAGACGAAGCCGTCGCGGTGGGTGAGGGCCCCCGCCGTGCCGGGGGGCAGCCCCTGCCAGTCCCGCAGGCTGCGGGGGTAGTAGGGCTCCACAGCGAGGGTCTCCTCGCTCACCACGAAGTACTTGGGGCCCTTGAACAGCACCAGGCGCCGGAGCTGCTGGAAGAAGAGCGCGGTGTCCGGGTGCCGAGGGAGGCCGCGGGCGCTGCACTTTCGGGGAAAACCTGCCTCCAGGGTGGAGCCCGCGTAGCGCCAGCACCGGCCACCTGGGGAGAGACAGGGAGGGGGTCAGAGCCCACCCCAAAGGGGTCCGTGGTAGGACCAGCTCCAGGAGATGTGGAAAGACTCAGCCATGGAGACAGCCTTGTGTCTGTGATGTTCATCCCACTGGTGACCCAACCAGCACCACTGAGGGGCTGCCCCAAGGAACAGGCTGTGGGGAAACTGAGGCACAGCAGCTCAGGGGTTTGAAGGCACAGAAAGGGACTGCCAGGGACAGAGCAAGGCCCCCCCCATGCTGCTTCCTTGAAAACCTCCCCCTGTTCCTGCACAGTGAATGGGACAGACAGACCCGGACCTGACCTGGGCTGGGATGACACTGCAGCAGCAGGAATTGTGATGGGGACCGATGGCTCGGCCATCCTCACAGTGCCCCATCCCCACAGTGCCCTGTCCCCACAGTGTCCTGTCCCCACACCACAGGCAGACAAAAGCCCCTTTCTGCTCCCAAGCTGCAGCCTGACCCAGCCCTGGAGAGGGACGGAGGGAGCGGCGAGGGCTGTGGAGGCAGAGGGGCTTTGGCTCCCACCCAGCAGCAGCAACAAAGCCCCTTTTCTGAAGAACCAGCAACTGGTTTCCATTAAAAGCTGGGGCTGACCCTGGCAGCCAGGCTGCCTGGTTTGACCTTCTTCTCCCCATCCGGCTGTGGTGTACTGCCAGCCAGCTTATGGATGGCATTCCAGCTCCAGGGGCAGCTCAGCCCCTGGCATGACACAGGGATCCATGTGTGCCACAAAAACACCACACTCGGCTCCTCTCCACCACATGTCTTTGGGGAGTGTTTTCTCCCTGAGACCCCACAGGGTTTGATGCACCTGGTTTGGTTCTGACACACCGGTGAGCTCTGCTCTCCTGAACGGGCTGATGGGGAAACTGAGGCACAAGGGGGTGATGTGGCTGCCAGGGTGGTACATCCCTGGCCACACAGTTCATCTGTGGCAGGCACCAAGCCCAGGGTTTTGCACACCCAGGACACCACAGTGCC